GGGTATTTATACCAATCCACTGGTGCCACAAATAACACGTAACATTCACATGGACAGGGTACATATATCAATCTACTGGTGCCATAGGCAACACATAACAGTCACATGGATAGGGTACATACACCAATCTACTGGTGCCATAGGCAACACATAACATTCACATGAACAGGGTACATATACCAATCTACTGGTGCCATAGGCAACACATAACATTCACATGGACAAGGTACATGTATCAATCTACCGGTGCCATAGGCAACACATAACATTCACATGGACACGGTACATATACCAATCTACTGGTGCCATAGGCAACACATAACAGTCACATGGATAGGGTACATATACCAATCTACTGGTGCCATAGGACAGGGTACATATACCAATCTGCTGGTGCCATAGGCAACACATAACAGTCACATGGATAGGGTACATATACCAATCTACTGGTGTCATAGGCAACACATAACATTCACATGGACAGGGTACATATACCAATCTACTGGTGCCATAGGCAACACATAACATTCACATTGACAGGGTACATATACCAATCTACTGGTGCCATAGGCAACACATAACATTCACATGGACAGGGTACACATACCAATCTACTGGTGCCATAGGCAACACATAACAGTCACATGGACAGGGTACATATACCAATGTACTGGTGCCATAGGCAACACATAACAGTCACAGGGGCAGGGTACATATACCAATCTACTGGTGCCATAGGCAACACATAACAGTCACATGGATACAATACATATACATGTACCAATCTACTGATGCCATAGGCAACACATAACAGTCACATGGATAGGGTACATATACCAATCTACTGGTGCCATAGGCAACACATAACATTCACATGGACAGGGTACATATACCAATCTACTGGTGCCACAAATAACATATAACAGCCACATGGGTAGGGTATTTATACCAATCCACTGGTGCCACAAATAACACGTAACATTCACATGGACAGGGTACATATATCAATCTACTGGTGCCACAAATAACATATAACAGCCACATGGGTAGGGTACATACACCAATCCACTGGTGCCACAAATAACACATAACATTCACATGGACAGGGTACATATATCAATCTACCGGTGCCATAGGCAACACATAACAGTCATATGGATAGGGTACATATACCAATCTACTGGTGCCATAAGCAACACATAACAGTCATATGGATATGGTACATATACCAATCTACTGGTGCCATAGGCAACACATAACATTCACATGGACACGGTACATATACCAATCTACTGGTGCCATAGGACAGGGTACATATACCAATCTACTGGTGCCATAGGCAACACATAATAGTCACATGGATAGGGTACATACACCAATCTACTGGTGCCATAGGCAACACATAACATTCACATGGACAGGGTACATATACCAATCTACTGGTGCCATAGGCAACACATAACATTCACATGGACAAGGTACATATATCAATCTACCGGTGCCATAGGCAACACATAACAGTCACATGGATAGGGTACATATACCAATCTACTGGTGCCATAAGCAACACACAACAGTCATATGGATATGGTACATATACCAATCTACTGGTGCCATAGGCAACACATAACATTCACATGGACACGGTACATATACCAATCTACTGGTGCCATAGGCAACACATAACAGTCACACTGATAGGGTACATATACCAATCTACTGGTGCCATAGGACAGGGTACATATACCAATCTACTGGTGCCATAGGCAACACATAACATTCACATGGACAGGGTACACATACCAATCTACTGGTGCCATAGGCAACACATAACAGTCACATGGACAGGGTACATATACCAATGTACTGGTGCCATAGGCAACACATAACAGTCACATGGATAGGGTACATATACCAATCTACTGGTGCCATAGGCAACACATAACATTCACATGGACAGGGTACATATACCAATCTACTGGTGCCATAGGCAACACATAACAGTCACATGGATATGGTACATATACCAATCTACTGGTGCCATAGGCAACACATAACATTCACATGGACAGTGTACATATACCAATCTACTGGTGCCATAGGCAACACATAACAGTCACATGGATAGGGTACATATACCAATCTACTGGTGCCATAGGCAACACATAACAGTCAAATGGATAGGGTACATGTACCAATCTACTGGTACCATAGGCAACACATAACATTCACATGGACAGGGTACATATACCAATCTACTGGTGCCATAGGCAACACATAACAGTCACATGGATACAATACATATACATGTACCAATCTACTGATGCCATAGGCAACACATAACAGTCACATGGATAGGGTACATTGTACATATACCAATCTACTGGTGCCATAGGCAACACATAACATTCACATGGACAGGGTACATATACCAATCTACTGGTGCCATATGCAACACATAACAGTCACATGGATATGGTACATATACCAATCTACTGGTGCCATAGGCAACACATAACATTCACATGGACAGTGTACATATACCAATCTACTGGTGCCATAGGCAACACATAACAGTCACATGGATAGGGTACATATACCAATCTACTGGTGCCATAGGCAACACATAACAGTCACATGGATAGGGTACATATACCAATCTACTGGTACCATAGGCAACACATAACATTCACATGGACAGGGTACATATACCAATCTACTGGTGCCATAGGAAACACATAA